GTGATACATATACAAATGGCTCCGAAAGGAATTTCCTTCACGATTTTTCACGCAGGGATTTCAACGAAGACGAATTGAATTAAAAAAAAAAAAAGAACTGTACTGTGCAGAATCCTCGAACACAGCATAGGGGAAAACGGTGGGAGGTCAGGAAAACACTTTATACTTTCGACTGCCACCAGTAATGGAAGATGAGACAGGCTCAAAATCGGGATCGAGGAAGAATGAATACAAGTACGGTACATGTACTTGTATTTTATTGTATTGTATTGTATATACCATTTTGGAGTATGTACGGGGGATTCGAACGAGGCGCGAATCTAATCTCAAGACACGATGCTGTTGAAGCACGACGGCGAACCCTGATGCATATTATTCCCTGCACAGAGGGGGAAAAAGCCTTTGAAACCCATTTCCCGCCTCTTGCGACATATTTTTCCAAACGTTCTCTTCCATTTCGACAATGACAATAATCGGATTCCTGGCACGACAAAACAAGAAACGAAAGACTATTGAAGTACTGTACAGTATTCATGATTTGAAATAAATATCATCCACGCCGCAACCCCAATACTGTACAATACAGTGAACCCCTGATGGTCGCCTCTAAAATTTATTGAAAAAGGTTTCTCTGTTACACGGAACTTCGATTGAAACCTGCCCGTTAATTCCTTGTCCTGCCGACAATAAGAAACCCCATATAACGATGACTTTGCACCGATAAACGCTACTCATTTACGTCTCTGCATGGACATCGTAACCTAAACAGCACAGTAGAGTATTCAGCAGTATTGGATGTCACGCGGAGTAAAGTAAAACCGGCTTTACGTTTACGCCAAAACAATGGACGAAACGCACAGTTTTCAACTCATCTTAATTGTGCATCAGACCGTCAAAGAATGATCGCGCGGATGCCTTTCCTTTTATTCTGTTACGCACTGTACTGTGTTCAAAAATCACGGGGTTTTTTAATTTTCACACGCAGCAGTGTAACGAAGTCTCATTTCAAAACAATGAGACGACATAGATACCAGCAAGTTTATACATGTGGACTCTCTCTCTCTCCATCGATTTTCTTCGTAATGTACTGCTCTTCCTTTTTTTTTCGTTTTTTTTCGTCCCATACAAGTCTCTACATAGTAAGGCATTCGAATCCCGTCATACAGTACACAGACAGAGAGAGAGAGAGAGAGTCCATCTACGAATTCTACATGGTAAATTTTCCATTTTACATTTCACCCGTGAGCGAATCAGTTGAAATAATCTTGGCTTGAGAAAATGCAGTACTGTACAGCACACATGGAAATGGTTAAGCAATTCCAGTTGAGATACTGTTTTGTGTAACACTCCTAACACAGTACAGCACAATAATTTGGATTTAGGGCAACACGGCGCAGGACAGTACAATATTTCAGTCAGGGTACATGGGAAATGACACGAAACGAAGGAAGGAAGGAATGAATGAATGAAAGCGAGCAAAGCGCGACATTAAAAAGATGAAATGCTACAAGAATGTTTGTTGTCCGTCCGTCGGTCGGCACCACAAACAAAACAACAAGATGCGGGGCATGCATGAATAAATGAATCAATCGATGGCGTCAAGTCGGCTGGCTCATTACGATTGCGGCGAGGCAAGGAATACTGCATGTACTGTACGTAAGAGGAGTGACTCACTCCTCTACGCACGTCTGTAATTGATGGTCACTCGGCGTAAGACATCAGTCATTAAGATGCTGATGAACCTTCTCCTTCTCTCTCTCTCTCCCAAAGACGGAATAAAAAGAAGAAGAAAAAGAAGAAAAAGAAAAAAAAAAAGTAAACACATTTGCCCCCTCGTGCATGCATGCATACATACATACATACGGCGGCCAGAGAGATAAATGAACACGGATCCCCATTGCTATTCAGGATTCGTTACGTGGGTCGCAAGAAGTGACGCCGTCGGAATAAATTCATCTCCTTTCATTTCTCTCCGTGTCACCGCCACCGCCGCCGCCGTGCTCGCAACTGCAAGCCAGCAGGCAAGCAGGCAACGAGAGGATGAGGCAAAGGTGGTGGTGGCGGTGTTGGAGCTGGTGACTCGTCTCGACGCCAATCACACACCACTTTTTTTTTTCAATATTTTCTTTTTTTCCTCTCGGGGGAAATAAAAAAGTGTGCACAGTGCAGTACACTGTATTGCGAGGGGGCAATGGAGTAAAACGACAAGAAGAAGAAGAAGGAAACCTAGCTCTCCGTCCCCTTCCTCCAGTCAAGTACTGTACTGTACTGCACTGTACAGCACAGTACAGAATAGAATAGTATGGCAACTTTTCTTTACATGCGTTTCATGCAGTCAAGTCAGTCAGTCAGTCTGTCACCCAAGAATTGCATCGTGAAAATCGGAGACATTGAATCAACGGGATGCAAGTAGAGAGAAGATGACACAAAACAAAAGAGACAATAATTCCAGTACAAGAAGTAAAGTTCTAGAAGGTCCATCAGCACTCGATGATTTAGGTAGCCTATACTCTTTCATCACATGCCGAATGAATGCCTGCCTGCGACAAACTTGATTACTGTACGTTACCAAGCTCAACATGTCCTTCCCTCCATGATTTAAAAAATAAATAAATAAATTAGCACGACTCACTACTGTACTCATGGCACCTTGCACATCGATTCCCATGGTCCAGAATAAGGTACAGTACATACTCATGCAGAGCTCATCAGGTGAATTTGAAATCGAAACACAAGTCAAGTCACGATTAGCAGTCCAAATGCTATTCCATTTTCATTGATTTGATTGGGTTTCCAGCATCTCAAGCTCAACGCCGAAACCAACAAGGAACGAAAAAAGGAAGGAACGAAAGAAGGAAGGAANAAACACAAGTCAAGTCACGATTAGCAGTCCAAATGCTATTCCATTTTCATTGATTTGATTGGGTTTCCAGCATCTCAAGCTCAACGCCGAAACCAACAAGGAACGAAAAAAGGAAGGAACGAAAGAAGGAAGGAAGGAAAGAAAGAAAAAAAACCTCGTCCTCGTCCAGACGCACGTTCCTAAACCTCGACAAGACGGGGGGAATAGACGCCCCGGGGTCTCTTCAGGTTTTGTCCATTGGAAGCATATACTGTACTGTATAAAGAAGCGGCTACTCTGAAGCCACGCCGGTGTAGCAGGCAGGGCATACTCCCCAGGTACAGCGTACTCCCCCTGCAGGAGGATTAGTCCACATCCACGGAGTGCGATTCAGCAGAGGCTCTTCTGCAGTGATCACTTATGCAGTGGTATCTTCCACAGAATTCAGAGGAAAGTTGATTCCACAGTGATTCTTGAAGCAGCATTTACTTTGGCAAAAATAATGATGAATTCTGCGGAAATATATTTTCAGGAGAGGCCTTGGAGCTATCCCACTTGGGGGGAGTCATGCCCAAACCAATGCTCTCATATATGTCGCTAAGAACAACACATGGAATGTTATCAGCATTATCCATGTGTGGTTCTCAAAAATGAATCCTCTTTACCCCAATTATGAGGTCAGGTTATGTTAGTTGATAATTAATGCGAAAGTACAGTAGAACTTTGGACAAGAAAGCATTTTGGACCTTGAAAAAGCTTTGTCATATACGAAAATTTGTCAAAAAGAAATTTAAATAAGAATGTGGCAGTTGGGGCAGGGACTGAAAAAGACATTTCTCCAAAGCATCAACAAGATTCGTTGCAACAAGATGGAATTGGCTCTCCTCTGAATTTTGTTGAAAGAACTACTGCATGTGTTCACCATGGAACTTCACTCCGCGGATTTGAACTGACCCGCCAGACGGCATAGCGCACACTGGAGTACACCCTGCCTAGGTAGGGTGTACTCCTGGAGTGCATCCTGCCTAGGCAGGGTGTACTCCTGGAGTACGATTTTGGGGGAGTACGCTGTGCCGCCCACACCGGCACAGGTTAATAACCATGTTAACACGACAAGGAGCCAATGTAAACGCGCTGGTTAAATGCCACATTCAATGCCGATCCACCATCACATGAGTATAGCACACACCTGTTAGGTCCCAAGTGATTTCATGATGAACCAGAAAATCCTAACCCGGAACGATCGAATAATTGAATATTTTCATTGACATCATAGTGGCCGTTTCATGCCACAGAACAATATTCTGTTTTTATCACAACTGTGCAATTAATATAGAATGTAAACTGATATTAAGAAGTACCATACTGTATATACGGACACCAGGTGCGAAGAGCGGGAAATTCTCCACGGACAACCACTGGAATATGTTCGTTTCAGCCTTTGATTCGCTCGCACATTTGGCAGATGAAAAAAAAAGTCATGCGGAGTATATGGACCCGCAACTTCAGCAGTTGTTAAGCGCAATAACTGTGTGCCTTCAGCGGATACCTCGATGCTGATGCGTCAGCGGCGTATTATAGTACTGTATACCGTACTTCGCTATCAAATGTTCAAGCTATGCAGTGCGATGGAGAACGAAGTATCCCTGCGGTAGAAGATTACGAATACTTTACCGGTGCCTCTGCGTCCAGTTCCTTCATTCAAGTTCGTTTCCACAGTTCCACATGTGCAGTACAGTACTTTAGTCAGTGACCATCGCAAAGGTTGATTCGCCACATAGAACATTCATTCCGCAGGTTTGATATCACGTTAACTTTATGAAATTGTTCCTAACGAAAGAGGATTGAGAGCTTGTCTGGATTACTGTATGATTGAAAGGATGAACTAGTGAAAAAACTCATCAGAAAATGTCTTGAGCCTTTTCGGGATTGCTAAAGTTCCCAAGTTTCCCTCTTTAGCCAATCCTTATTAATCAGCCCCATATATAGCGGTTGATTCACCGGAACTCATAGATGATGGTTCCATTTACCTTACAATCGTTTCTTTGAAGTCGACCGCACGCAGTGACTCCCGTGAAAAGTTCGTTCAACTATCAGCAACATCCAATATTATAACGCAAGAGCTCATAAGGTGATTTTACAAATTAATCATCACGCATTCTAAATAATTGAATTTATTCGTTTCCCAGATTATTTTCATACACGCGAGCGTATAAAGAAGCATAAACCATCTTCCCTGGTTCGGTGAAATTGAGAAAAGCAGAGTAATTTTTTCCCGAGTAGTTATCAGGGTAGCTCTTGAAATCTACCTTGGATGGAATCAACAGCTGCAAGGAAGAACTAAGAGCAAAAGGGTAAATATATGGTGACGAAAAGACGTCACTTCGTAAAGTGAACTTCAAAAATGTCTCACGGCGATCTTCAACATTCGCCAACTCCCCATTCGAGGAATTTTTGAAAGTGTGTATCGTTGATCCGTCACTGCAGGAATTCAAGTCCTCGGGACTAGAACAAAACAAAACTACACACGTTTGCGCCATCCAAGAATACTTGCCTCCTTGGATGAACACTTCGCCGCTAAATGCTCCTAAACGAAACACTGGGCCAAGTTTTTTGAATTCAATCTCGTAATCCAGATGGCAGCAAAATTCATTCTGGCAAACCGAAGCACTTCCTTCATTTGCTTCTAAAAGTATAGTATCAAAGTTGGCAAAGCTTTCTTTCAAAAATGACCATTTCTCCTCTACCACTTTAACATTCAAAGGTGGGATCACGGCTTGAAATGTTGACGGTGAATTTTGATCCTCTGATGGTGGTGGCGAAGTGACATCGGAAATCACAATTCGACTTATTGTTGCTTGCGTAGTGTAAGCAAAAATATCTGTGGTGGAAAATATCCCGCTCCCCAAGGTGTAACTCGGAGGATTGTGATAACCAGATGCCAGAAGATTCACACCTAATCCCTTTGATATCCCAGACTGAATTTCCGGTGCTGTAAGAATATTGATAGACACGAAAAAATTATACGATACTGCCACAATTCAACAGAAATAACCACGCAAAGGTTGCGCAGCGAATAACTGTATGCAGGATTGATTTGGTTTGGCTGATATGAACTATCTCGAATATCTGAAATGTTTCGTATTGCTCCGAGAAGCATAAAAATGTAGAAAGAATTGGAAATCTGTTCGAATAGTTATGTAGAAATTAATTGAAATTACTGTAATTATTTTTCCTGATTTTTTTCAAGCCGAACATAATTCATCTCATAAAAAGCCTGCCTTCATTGGAATTGAAATAATTCGTAGGTCACTCATTCATCTCACCCAAAAAAGTTGGAAAAGAATCAACCCAGGCAGTGGGAGAGATGAGATCCCGGATTCCCTGGCGATGAAGATCAATCATGGGATGCTCAAACATGATGTCGAAACACGTGAACAACCCAAACTCGACGCCAAAATCGGTATGGAACGAAACTACATCTTTCTTCGGAGGTGCATTCATTACAGGTTCATTGTAGAGGTTAATTTTTCTGTACCTGCTCAACACCCATTCAAACGTATAATACATCAGGGCAAAAAATACAATACGAATCATGGCTTTCTGACCTCGCAATAACTGAACCATTCCTATCAAAAGCCACTGCAGTGTTGAAGAAATATTCCTTGTCATTAGGACATTCAGGATCCGTTTCGGCGTCGCAAGCTTCGACTTCAGCGATGTTAGCGATGAGGTAAATATTTCCAGTTCTCGCCAAACAACTCAACTTTCTGGTTATGATCTATAAAAATGAAGTCATCCAAATAATCATACTGTATAATCACATTATGAAAAGTATGCAAGTTATTCCGTCTGAATGTGTCACCTACCGTGAAAATTACATTTATCCATCAAGACGTATATATACGACATCTAAACGTCCCCAACCCCGCATCCAATGTACAAAACTCGAAAATGACAAGCATAATATTTGGAGGATGAATTAAGAGAATGGAGTCGATTTGTAATCGATAAATCCGTGCGTAAAAAAAGTGAAACACACCACGAAGCGCTTCCATTCAATTGAATCAAGTAATTTGAGACGACCCACAGGGAAAATTCTTCAGAAGTCCTAAGACTTCTGGATGAGAAAAAATAGCATGCAGATTTTACAACACAAGTATTTTTATTGGAGCCCCTACCACAGCTGATGTGTATATAAATATAACTGCCTGTATATATACTGTAGATGCAATAAGTTTAGCAAAAAGGAGTACAGTATACAGTATATACTCTTGAGCTGAATGCATGCATATAAGTAAAGAAGACAATTAAATCCGACACCACATCATGTTAAACTGTAAAACAGGGCGATGCAATTGTGAAAATAAACAAGGCACAACATTCTTAATACGGCATGGGCTGCATATATATGCTATGCCTATAATTATAATTGCGGTATGTCTAATTTTTCAGTAAAATAAAAAGGTGTGTTGCATATGCACGATTTCACATGATGAAACCAGCAAAGGAATGTATACAGAATGACCTATAATTGAAAATAATTTCTCGACATACAATATTAATTTACGATGATAAATTTGGTAGTACAGTATACGTAGATTTGAAGCTCATTTGCAAGGATCAGGCCTCAAGCTCCGGTATATTTCAGGCTATCCGAAAGTTGATGCGTGAATAGCACGCCGCCATGACTTGAAAGCGTTAAATCAGGAAAAATGTTGAAAATTACTGTTTTAGAATACTTCTAGATGGATACCTGATCTGGTTGTTCGTCACTAAAGTCGTCGCACGGTGCAATTTTTCCAGCAGCCGCAGGTACGATTTGGAAGTACGGTCTTGCAGATCCGCGGTCAGCAGGAAGATTGAGACTTGTCACTCCATATTCCGGGAAAATTATGATGTCTACCATCTGGAAAGAAACGTTGGTACTGTGATCCGTTTTTATCGCATTTGTATGTACAGCTGTATTCATCCCCATGCAGATCTCCTCATCAGAAGTTTTCTATAATATATGCGGTATTTTCGGAATGAAATATTTTATTCGTGATTAAAGTTTCAGAGATTAACAAACATTAACGACTATAAACTCATTTCCAAATTTTGTGGAAAAATGATGATCAATAAGTGAAAATGTCGGCTTTTTCTTCCACTATACAGAGTGCTATATAGAGGACGGATGAGTTCTACATACTCGTGCTTGTTGCGCACCCGCAACAATTTTCCGGGTCAGAAATTTCATAAAATAACGTCGTCGTGTATGTTTGGCATTCAGCATATATATATACACAGTATATATATTGTACTCGCCTGATGTATACTGTATGTATGTGCATGGACTGAATTTCGTCGAACATATGGAACGCTGTAAAGATGATTGCGATTATACACGCATAATGACGAGGTTACTAACGTTTTCTGCGGCTATCTTCACGAAGTCCTCGTAAGCTGCGACATTCGCGGACATGTAGTCAACGACTGACTGGTTGAAAAAGCTGAGATCGTTGTCCGGACAATTGTACTCCACCACTGCTGCTCGATAATTCCTCAAATCATCTTGAATACCTATATATTCCTCAACAAAATAAAAAGTGTCCTTTTTCCGAAAGTAAACTCTACGAATATACTAACATTGCTCAGGAAAGTCGCACTGACAGAACGATGATGAAGAACTTCCCATGCGAATTGCGAATGCTGCTTGCAAGAAACAAACTGTCGCACACAGTTCCAAGTAAAATGTCAGCAAGATTTCTCCCGAAATCTTATTCATTCTCCTTTGGAAGAAAATTATGCCTTAAATCACCATAATACGTATAAAAAATTGAAATGAATAATACTGCTATTAGATGCATCATTTATTGCTGCTAATTGTCTTATATTATAACTACGTACGTATACGGTTTATGATTAAATAATGCGCCCTCATCATTCTCAATCATCACTGCATGATCACATATACTGTACACAGCATATAGTGGCAGAAAAGTATCTGACAGGCAAGCTACACAAAATAATATGCGCTGCATTTGCATATTATTGGCAAAATCTCACCCCGCACTCCATCATTAATCACATCAAAAGGTTCCCGTCCGTCGAACACTTGACGGACATATGATGGTCACGCATATACAAGCGTGATACGTGAAAAAGCATATAGGACTTCAATAACTGTTCTGCAGAATAATGCCATATGATGATTGAATTTGTTCACTATCTTATTGCTGGATGAATACTGCTGTAATCTACAGTACTACAGATAAGACAGAGCCGGATGAGTCATGAAGAGCAGTATACTGCACATGAAGACACAATGCGCGCATCAAAAATAAGTGCCAACGTGGTAACGTGCATAAGAGCAACTAAAAAACTTAAGAGACAACCACATAGTGGTCTTGAGGAAATCATGGGATGAGTTCTGAAAGTCAAACTTGGAAAACACCGCAAAAAAATCACATGACATGAAGGAGGATTTTAGAATGAAAAATAATCAAACATTTTGTAATGTTTCAAAAACTTCAATCATTATTGCAAGGAATGAAGCCAAGTGTTATACTGTTGTGAGGATATACTGTACTGAAAATCACATAACAATTAATCTACCACCACATGTGGCACTTGAACCATATTGCTAGCTACTGGAACTTATTGAGGTGGTGACCCACACTCCATGCATATGGAACCCCGTGCTCCTACCTATCACTAAAGCGACATCTATGGGTGGCGAAATTGAACTCCGTACAGTGATGCACTTTACCGTACTAGCTGTACTTTACTTCAAATGCTGCAAGGATTGTGGGAGTTGGATGCAGCCTCTGATATTTCTGGAGTAGGCGAGATTGTAATAAAAACTGTGGCATATAGCCCATGATGTTCTGAGCTTCTGGTTTTTTTAAATACAGTAATGATGTACATTAAATACCCAGGGAATAATTCAACTGCTGCCTCTCCATCTGAGCTCACGAGCGGGGTTCAAAGATGTGGGAACCCCGCTGCTCTCCTGATAAAAGTGAAAAAATCACTGAGCAGCAATGCTTGTGCTGCAATGTGCTGCTATGACTGCATGGTTGATGTGGGTGATTTGTCTAATGTAACAAGTAAGGGCAGATTAAAAGCATGTAATAACTATCCCAAGTGGGGAAATTGGTCCACAGTGGGGATATGCCTGTAAGTCAACACAGCAATGACCCTGCTGTGCACCTGAAGAGTACCAAAGTTTTTCTTTTGCACATGTATACTGTATCTTTAATGTGCACCAGTTGTGTATTCACACCAGGGTTACATGTGCATGTTCATGTGTGTTTATCACATGCATTTGATTATGAAAGCTACCACAAATGTTCCCAAAAATGCTCCACCCTGTGCCCCCCCCCCCCCCCCAAAAAGAATACGAGAACAGCATATTGAGGTGACATATCTGTTGACGATTATCGCGTCAATATCTTTCTCGAAAATTTCTGGAGTATTAATGCACTGAACTGTATTACGTACATCCTGCTCATAACTTCTATAACAAAGCACTTCATCGAATTAATAGTATTTGTTTGCTCTTATTCTAAAGCTCCAAGAAATTTAGCTCTCACTGAAGCTTATTTCCCTTTTCTGAATTGTAATTATATGCCTTTGAATAAGTGACCTTGTGCTGCAACTTACGTCGAAGTTTGGATGCATGTACAATTTTAATTTTTGAATATCGTTATATCACGGACGATGAAAAGTGAACAGCAGCATAAAATTATAGCCAGCACTGATAATGTGATAAAAATGCGAATGTTCGAACACAAATTACTGAAGCAGGCACAACAGGAAAATAATGAAGTTAGAAGAAAAAAAGACTTGAGGGAGAGAAAATGAGGTGCATTTTCTTTTCCATTTCATACTTGCTGTGATGATGACCATTATCACCCGGAAACAATTACGCGATCACTGATACGTTTTCCGGGATGTAATGTGAAAAAGGTTTGCGTTAATTTTCGCTTTCATTCTACTGCTACGGCATTCAAAACAAACGAATAAATTGAACATCACAGAAATATCCATAATCCAATCATTGCGATGTATGCCTCAATTCACCTTGGAAATTCATGAAATAAACATCGACTGTGAGTCAAGTGTGGAATTCTTTGAATCGTTAATATTTCCACTCAAATTATTAATTGACCGATCTCTATAGGAAGCAAATTGACAACAAGTACGGTCGTCAACAATTACGTAACTGCTGAACCGACACTTAAACTCAACTAACTAATGTCGAAGATAACGTCACACAACATTGCGGCTAATGAGCTTTGTTATCAGAAACAAAAAAGGTAATATTCGTTGAGGGAGTACCTCATAAAATAGCGAAGATAACCTCTTCCTGCGCACTCACATAAATACGGGATATCTTATTTCATCATCTCAAGATCGTCTTTTGTGAGGGTATGAGAAAAAGTATGAGAGACCATGATTGTTTATTGATGCACATGTAATGGAGAAAGCGTGACTTATTGCACCCACCCGGAAGAACCTGCTCCAACATGTGTGCGAGGGGTTTCTCAAAAGTATACGGAATCTTGTCTTATTGAGGGAAAAATCACTGGCATAACAAATCGGTCCCACATAAAAACTTTTGTAAAAAATAAGGAGTTCCAGCATCAGCGAATGTTCAGTCTTTTTTCAAACGTTTGCGATTTTTGCGAAGGCCAATCAATAATGGCATCATTTTAATGAGATATTTAATCAACAATTTTGCTTATCTTGGAGAATTATTCAATGCTAGGAATTTTTCACCTCTTTTATTTTTCTGGCAACTTATCTGGACAAAAACGCAGGTAAACATTTTATTATTTTTAATCTGTGCTAAATTTCACCTGTTTTGGCAGGGTCAATAGTACAAGTACTGTACAGTATAAATTGTTTCCCAGCCTGATATATGGAGTAACTATTTTTTCCAATAGATCATTGAAAAATTGTACATATTTTAAACAAAGTTCATTAGAAAGACTGAATTTATCATTCAGTTTACTAAAATAGATCAATTACTATTCCACATATGTCACTGTTGGCAAAAAAATGAAATGGGATTTGGAGACAAGTCTTTTGCAATAATGATTTATTCTAGTTTATTTTATTGAATATTTCAAACAAATTATTTATTGAAATGGGTACAGTATGTAGTGTTACCCAAGAAACATTTACATTTGTTTTGAGGACCTCTAAATTACATTTGCCTCAAGGAAATGTACAAGGTTTTTTCCCTGCAGCTGTTTCCTTGTTTTAAATTTCCTCTTCTCACCTCACCCCACATTAACAGTGTGATGCATTTTCTTTCTTTAAAGAACATATAATCTCCCCTTGACCCCTGACAGGGATGGATGTTTTTGTGCATAGCTACACATCTGAATTTTTCATTTCAGAGGAAATATCTTGATATACATGTGTATTGTGTATTTTTGACACGTAATTGTGATGCACATATTAAATTAAAATATCTTTCCATGAGGTCCAAACACTCATGAAAGGGAAGGTATATTAAAAATACATACAGCATCCTAGATACCTGAGAAGGTATATACTGTATATTACCAAGGAACAGTTTATTCCTCAGATTCAATCCTGTGTTGACTACTTCTCAGAAAGATATGCAAATGCTTGACAAAGCTCTCTTAAATTAGTCTAGTTACTTGTTGTTTGACTAACTTTGACTGTGAATAAAATACTTGTATCATACTGTATCTTGACAATTTGTTTTATTTGATTAGTCCAGACAACAATAGGTAAAAACTGGTCTCTCTGTTTCTGCTGCCTGCCTGGCAAATTTTTAATTAACAACTTTGAGTATGTACAGTACTTCTATAAAGCCCCTCTTATAAAGGGCACACATACACAGGCTGTGTCCTGTGTGTGCTAACTGCCTCATGATTGCATGGTTCCATTCATCCTGCAATCATCCTTGAAGCCAGCCAAAAGGGGAGACTGGGAGAGAGCAGGAAAGACAGGGGCAGGTTATTGTGTCTTGGGGAGAAAGGCGGAAGCAGAAGAAAAGATGGTCAGTTACGCGTGTGCGGCATCAAGCAGAAGCGGATTATTTGTCATCGGCATCAAGCAGAAATTTTTTTTGCCAATAATATTTCCCAGTGGAAAATCCCGAAACTGTGACTTGAAATTAGTACAACAAATACGTGTTTATTTTTGTGACCCTTTTGTTCACTTCTCTCTTTTATATTTTTGAAACCCGGTAGGTAAGATTTTTTTTATTTTGCAGGGCAAGAGGATGCATTGAAGTATTGTATGATGAACGATAGAGAATATCTTCGTATAACAGTGATCACATGTTCCCAGCGATGTCCATTTGCATGTCTCAAACAAGAAGAACCGTATTTTGTGAAACAACTATAATTTTCTGATAAATATTTTGTTACATGTTGGTCTATTTTCAGTTCTGTATCTTACTCATCATAATCTGCTATGCTGAACACTTGAAGAATGACAAGTAATGAAGAAAGTTGATTTGAAGAAGCGAAAACCTGTCAACCAAACAACCAAACAACCATCTCAAAAACATTGAATTAATCTTTGTTAAAATGAAAGCTAATTTGTGTAATTTTAAATGCTCAAACATTTTGGGATTTTTGCATCATGTATCACCTTCGTAAATCGAAATAAAAACAGGGAAGATGCGTTACATTGATTGAATGTACGTAAAGGTTGCTGTATATTGGAAATTGCAATATGTTTCTGCTGATAGGTTTATTTAAAAATTTATCCAAAGAGAAGAACACGTATTAAAAGTTCAGGG